ATTTTCACAATCTTCTTTGTAAATACATCTTTTATTGAGGAATTATATTGTAAATTTTATAAGATAAATACACAATCTTTTAGGTGAAATCTTTTATCATTTTTTTAAAATTATATATTTATTATTAAATGAGGTGGATTTTATGAAACTTTTTTGATGTTATTTTATATGATCTTTTTAAGGATAATATTTTAATATGACAATTGTCATAATCGTTCTTTTATAAGTTTTTTGAATTTTTTTGAAGAAAGTATGTTAAAATAAGTATTAATAACATGTGTAAATACAAATTTAGTGAAGATGTACCAATGAAAAGTGACAATTGTCATAATGGTTAATTTTAAAGTTTTTTGAATTTTTTTGACGAAAATTTGTTAAAATAATTATTAATAACATGTGTAAATATAAATTTAGTGAAGATGTACCATAGAAAAGTGACAATTGTCATAATCGTTATTTTTAAAGTTTTTCGAATTTTATTGACGAAAATATGTTAAAATAAGAATTAATAACATGTGTAAATATAAATTTAGTGAAGATGTACCAATGAAAAGTGACAATTGTCATAATAGTTAATTTTAAAGTTTTTTGAATTTTTTTGACGAAAATTTGTTAAAATAAGTATTAATAACATGTGTAAATATAAATTTAGTGAAGATGTACCATAGAAAAGTGACAATTGTCATAATCGTTATTTTTAAAGTTTTTCGAATTTTTTTGACGAAAATATGTTAAAATAAGAATTAATAACATGTGTAAATATAAATTTAGTGAAGATGTACCAATGAAAAGTGACAATTGTCATAATGGTAAATTTTAAAGTTTTTTGAATTTTTTTGACGAAAATTTGTTAAAATAAGTATTAATAACATCTGTAAATATAAATTTAGTGAAGATGTACCATAGAAAAGTGACAATTGTCATAATCGTTATTTTTAAAGTTTTTTAAATTTTTTTGAAGAAAATATGTTAAAATAAATATTAAAAACATGTTTAAATAAAAATTTAGTGAAGATGTACTATAGAAAAGTGACAATTGTCATAATCGTTATCTTTAAAGTTTTTTGAATTTTTTTGACGAAAATATGTTAAAATAAGTATTAATAACATATGTAAATATAAATTTAGTGAAGATGTACCATAGAAAAGTGACAATTGTCATAATCGTTATTTTTAAAGTTTTTCGAATTTTTTTGACGAAAATATGTTAAAATAAGAATTAATAACATGTGTAAATATAAATTTAGTGAAGATGTACCAATGAAAAGTGACATTTGTCATAATTGTTATTTTTAAAGTTTTTTGAATTTTATTGACAAAGATATTTTAAAATAAGTATTGATAACATGTTTAAATAAAAATTTAGTGAAGATGTACTCTAGATAAGCGACAATTGTCATAATCGTTATTTTTAAAGTTTTTTGATTTTTTTTGACGAAAATAGTTAACTTGCATCGATATTGATTTTAAAATAGAAAAAAAAGTTTACCCAAATTTTAAACAAGATTGTCTGATGAAAATTGGTAAAAAAAATAATAATTTCTAAATTAGGATTAGATATTATGATATAAATTTTGCATATTAATTTCTGACCCGATGAACAAATGTAATAAAATGCCAATTTGCTCCTGTTTTTGGGGAAGAATCTATTATTACCATATGTGTTTCTATGGCATATACTCAGGCAATTTTAATTTTACAATCTATATTTTTACCCATTTACATCAAAGAAATTTTAAAAATAACGATTATGACAATTGTCACTTTTCTATAGTACATCTTCACTAAATTTTTATTTACACATGTTATTATTTCGTCAACAAAAATCAAAAAATCTAAAAAATAATGATTATGAAAATTGTCGCTTATCTAGAGTACATCTTCACTAAATTTATATTTACACATGTTATTAATTTAATACTTATTTTAACATATTTTCGTCAAAAAAATTCAAGAAACTTTAAAAATAACGATTATGACAATTGTCACTTTTCATTGTCTTCACTAAATTTATATTTACACATGTTATTAATACTTATTTTAACATATTTTCGGCAAAAAACTTTAAAAATAACCATTATGACAATGTCAATTTTCTATGGTACATCTTCACTAAATTTTATTTAAACATGTTATCAATACTTATTTTAACATATTTTCTTCAAAAAAATTCAAAAAACTTATAAAATAACGATTATGACAATTGTCACTTTTCTATGGTACATCTTCACTAAATTTATATTTACACATGTTATTAATACTTATTTTAACAAATTTTCTTCAAAAAAATTCCAAAAACTTATAAAATAACGATTATGATAATTGTCACTTTTCTATGGTACATCTTCACTAAATTTTATTTAAACATGTTATCAATACTTATTTTAACATATTTTCTTCAAAAAAATTCCAAAAACTTATAAAATAACGATTATGATAATTGTCACTTTTCTATGGTACATCTTCACTAAATTTTTATTTAAACATGTTTTTACTACTTATTTTAACCTATTTTCTTCAAAAAAATTCAAAAAACGTATAAAATAACGATTATGACAAATGTCACTTTTCTATGGTACATCTTCACTAAATTTTTATTTAAACATGTTTTTAATACTTATTTTAACATATTTTCTTCAAAAAAATTCAAAAAACGTATAAAATAACGATTATGACAATTGTCACTTTTCTATGGTACATCTTCACTAAATTTTTATTTAAACATGTTTTTAATACTTATTTTAACATATTTTCTTCAAAAAAATTCAAAAAACTTTAAAAATAACTATTATGACAATTGTCAATTTTCTATGGTACATCTTCACTAAATTTTTATTTAAACATGTTATTAATACTTATTTTAACATATTGTCGTCAAAAAAAATCAAAAAACTTTAAAAATAGCGATTATGACAATTGTCACTTTTCTTTGGTACATCTTCACTAAATTTATATTTACACATGTTATTAATACTTTTTTTAACCTATTTTCTTCAAAAAAATTCAAAAAACTTATAAAATAACGATTATGACAATTGTCACATTAAAATATTATCCTTAAAAAGATCATATAAAATCATCAAAAAAGTTTCATAAAATCCACCTCATTTAATAAAAAATAGATAATTTTAAATGATAAAAAAATTATAAAAGATTTCACCTAAAAGATTGTTTATTTATCTAATAAAATTTACAATATAATTCCTCAATAAAAGATGTATTTATAAATAAGATTGTAAAAATCACTAATACATTATATTAAAAAGAATATTACAATTTTACAATATAGCAGCATATTATTTTTTTTATTAAAATAACATCAAATAAATAAATTTATTTTCATTTCAAAATATAATAATATAAATAAAAAATATTAAATCATATCATGTTTATTTGTTGATAATAATAAAATATTTACATTAAATATAAATAAAATAAATTATTTTACTAAAATAAATAAATAATAATTAATACTATACTAAGCATCGATGCAGAATTTTGACTAATTTAATTTTAGCAGATATATATAGGCTTAGCCAATTTTTAGGCTTAACCTAATTAGGCTTAGCCGATTTTTAGTTTTAGCCGATTTTTAGGCTTAGCCTAATTAGGCTTAGCCGATTTTTAGGCTTAGCCTAATTAGGCTTAGCCGATTTTTAGGCTTAGCCTTATTAGGCTTAGGCGTAGTTTTTAGCCGATTACGCAACACTATTTATAAGATTAACTATGGTTGATATAGTCCTAAAAAATGCTATGAATGCTCTGCATTATTTCATAGATTAAATTCCCAATGTATTAAAAGGGTTTATAAACTCTTTCCATTAGTAAACTAATGAGAGAACATTCTCTTTTTTAAGATGAATAACAGAGGCCTGCAGAAGTACCATTTGCGGGGCACGGCCCGGATTTTTTTAAAAAATTTTTTACAGCCCGGCCTGGGCTTTTTTTAAAAAAATTTCAGGTCCGGCCTGGCTTTTATTAAAATAAAATTTTCAGGCCCTGCCCGGATTTTTTAAAATAAATTATATTTATTTTTGATTTTTATAGCTAATAATAATTATTTCAAATATGGGCTGTTTTAAAAAATACAGCATGGATTGAGTGTTTTTTTAAAATAATTCTGGCCCGGCTTGGGTGTTTTCTTAAAAAAATATCGGGCCTGGCCCGGGTATATTTAAAAAGGATCTTTTGAATTTTCATTTGACGACAATCAAGGGAGATAATTGATAAATTAGCTCAATCACAACGAAGATTGGATTTTACATTGTAAATATATAACATACTAAATGCAATTATTCCAGAAACTTTTTGTGTAAAGGCTCAAAAAATTCAAATTTCTATTTTGGGTCATTTAAGTGATTCTTTACATATAATTTTTTTATAATTCACATTAATTTAAAATTGTGTATTAGAAATAGTTATTAGTCCTAATAAATTTATGCTTGAATTTTTAAAAAACAATAATATTTCTTAAAATTTTTTATTATCAGACCAAATTCCTGCGTATGTGCCTGAGACAACTATATTTGTCCACCCTTCATTAATAAAGGTCAAATTTTTATCATATTTTTTGGTTATTATATTAGTAATCCTTTCATATTCACTGTTATTTTTATTGATTAAATATCTTGAGATATTTTAAATGCTGTTTTTAAAAATTAAATTCGTTAAGTTATTTTTTCAGAAATTTAAATTATTATTAGTTGAATTAAAATAAGAGGAAGTTGGCCTACCTTATCTCAATAAAAAAATTTCCTTCCGATGAACGTTACTAAAGTGAGCTATTATTATATTATCGAAAATGAACCTACATCCAAAACAAAATTATAATATATGAAACAAGAAGAAAAATATTTTTCTGAAATATGATACAAATCCTGATTATTTGACAAAAAAACTTAAAATAAAAATTGGGGAAACTATAGAGTACATTACATCCCTAATTACAACCAATTACAAAAAAAATTTGTAATATGCATTATATTTAAACTTTAATCATGACACATAGTTTTATTGATCAATAAATGTATTAATAAATATATTAACGATTCCTTTGAAATATCGCGTATAAATTTCAATAATATAATATATAAAAATATTAATACAAATATTGTATGTTTTAAATTTATTATATAAAAAAAATTAACAAAATGTATTTCTAATAAATACTTATCTATAATGACCGTATTATTTATATACATAACTATATAGACAAAATAAAAGATTTAATTATAAATGCTGTATATCAATGAAAAACAGAGATGTACCAATAACACTTTTTTGTCAATATCGATAAGTTTTTTTCCTAGTCGCAACTTCCACAAAAAATATTTTATAATTATTAAGCCATAAAAATGCCTTTCAAATTTTTATGAGAACTTTGTAGTATGTAATTTTATTTACCGTATATTTTTTTTATTCTTCATAAAATAATAATTCTGCAATAAAATTTTTAAAAGTAAAAATAATTTTTTTTTCCTGTTAGGAAATATATAGATCAATTTTTTTATCACATGCTCAAGGCTTTTTTAGCTTGAATTATTAGTCGTTTTGGATATTGGCAATATGATATTCAGTAAAACTGAGTTATTGGTGTACCTCTAACAAAAAGCAGATAATATATAATGTACGAATGACATGAAACATATCTAACGATAGTATAGAGGATGGACTAATGATGTTCTTATTTTACAAAAAACCTATTTTTATATAGGACCTTAATTTTGTTTTAAAAAAACAGTTTTCTATTTAATTTCAAAATTATCATCTTTTGCAACCAGTAGAAATTTCTGAATATTTTATATGAGATTATTTGATTTGGCTTGAGCTGCTCAGCGATTTCAAAATCATACTCATTCATATCCATCAAAACAGGAATAAAAAAGATCACCGTTTAATTTTGAAAATCTTTCATGAGATTGGCTTGTATCTGTTTAATTATTTCTGTCTCCGTTTCGTCAGGGACAAAGGCTGATAGGTCTTTAGATATGTCGGCAAGCGCTTGTTCCATTATGTAATCCTCATCTTTGCCCAGGAGGTTCAATTTGCTAAAAGGAAATTCATCTTTAGTAAGTGAAAGAGTTGGAGAAAGAAATATAGACGGGTGAGTATTAAAAAGATTTTTAACGTTTCCAATATTGATACCATCGATATGGTTATTATCAAAACTACTTATCATGCTTGTAGGTGACGTGATTACGAAAGATTTGGTGGTATCCAGATTGTTTATTAGAGTGTGATTTGAATGATTCATGTTGTAATCTAATTTTTTTAAAATTTTATCTTTAATGTTTATTTTAATTAACTTGTGGTGGGCGTTAAATTTCGCGAATGAAACATATCGCTAAAATTATCGTCGGGAAATTTGTTTATATCTTTAACAGGATCATCCAACATGGCACAGCCTTCTTCGTAACTCTTGTCTAGTATCACATCTGAGATGATGATTATACAAAAGATGGTTAAAAATATAAACAAATCTTCTTGAGAAAGAAATTTAAAATGTTAATTAATTTATATAATAAAATAATTTACCAGAGCCGAAATTGAATAGTATATCATTGAGACTATGAGAGGAGTAAGATGAGTAAGAAGCACCTAGATTTCCATCTAAAGAATTAAACGATTCATTGTTAAGAAGACCATTGTTATTGATATTATTGCTAATAAGAGAATTTTGCACGATGGGATTTGAGAAACTAGGTATCAAATAAGGATCCGAGTCCAAGGTAGGTTGAGATAACGTCCTAATAAATGGTTTTTTCAAGCTCTCCAATAGGTAGGAATGAGAATTAAGTTGATTTTCTATTTATTTAATTAACATATTATAATAATTAAGGGTTTAAAAAATTTTATTGTAAAAATTTGGTCTTACAATAAATTTAGATTATAAGATGAGATTTTAAAAGATAAATTTAGTTTAAAAAAATTAATTAGATTGGTTAATAACTGAATATAGATGATAATAATACATGAATTTAAAAAATGATATACTTTTTGTAAAATTTAAACTCCCTAAATTGCTGGAATTGTTAAGAAACGGATCATTTACAGAAACCAAAGTTGGATAAGGTTTTAAAAATCCTGAATTATTGGGTGGATGATTACCAAGGTTATTATTATTGGAATAATTGAAATTGAGGCAGTTGGCATACGAATTTAAAGACTTACTTTTACTGTTATCAATATTGTTGTAATTGGCAAAATGTGAATTATTAATAGAGCTGTTGTGATTATCATGACCAATATTGTTTAAATTATTTAAATTCATCAAGGTATTTAAGTTGCTATTGAGAACGGATAATATGGAGTTAAAATTACTGGTGTATATATTCACGTCAGGTTTGTAATCTGCATTATCCTTCTCAGTTGTTTTAGCAATAGTAGAGCGGGATGGAAAGGAAAATTTATTTTTCGACAAATCATTAAGAAAAAATTCAGATTTTGAAGAATCCAAACCAACGTTGGTCGATAAAGGAGGATAAGAAAAATTGTGAGGCAAAACACTTTTAATGAAATTATTCACGTCGCAAGATGTGCCACTTGGTAATTCAACATTTGACTCTAATACCTTAGAATCACTTTTAAATTTCCTTTTACGCCCCTTGTCAGATAATAAACTGTGTTCGTAATCATATGTAAACTCTAATGGTCCTTTTTTTGGATAATCAATAGTAGTAACAATATTGTTATCTGTGAAAAAAGTATTATACATAGAATGTAGTCTATGTTTTGAGATTTGGCCAAATCTGGCGGTGGATCCTTTGGTAGATGCGGATTTTTTTGCTGATTTAAGGAGAGTGATGTCATGTAATGCCTACATGTAATTATTTAAAATATATAGGTGTTTTTTGTGATAAAATGAAAAAGATTATATCTATATATAATTTTATAGTAATTGTACAACATTATTACAAAATATATTATTCCCGACTTTCATAACGCTTAAATATTTTTAAGAAATCAAAACACTTTCGAAATTTGTTCTAGAATATTTCGAGGAGTAGTTTTGACCTTGAGAACGAAACAAACCGTTTTCAGGGATTAAGTCCCTGGTTCATTTTTAAAAGTTCACCTCAAAAATTGTGACAAATAAATATTTTAACAATTATTAATGTTTTTTTTAAAAAACCTTTTTCCTAGCATGTTGCCAACACAGGGGAACATCGTTTAAAAGATCGAACGTAGGATTTGAACATTGAATATTATTTGAAAATTTTGCCGAGCATCTTTCAAAAAGTTGTTGATTGGGGTGAACTGCTATATCTAATTGATATTTATTGCACATAATTTATCTCATTAGTTAAAAAAAATTGATAATTTTATATTAAAATTTGTTGTTTAAAATCATGAGATTTTATTAAATTAAAAACAAGAGCAAATAATTGAGTTAAAGAGTTACATATTTAAAGATTTATTAATAATATTAAGGTTTATAAATTATTGCAAATCTATTTATGAGAAAATAAATTTAAAAATTTACGATTAGAACACAAATTTGAATAAGGAAGAGCTGGTTTGAGGCAATGGGTATTGACTAATTTTTTGTTTGAATTGTATTGATAAATACAAGGCCTTGGTTGACAATTTAAGTTAAAGCTGAAAAATAAATAACAAAGATTTTCAATATAGTAAATAAAAATTTTGCAATAAGAATTATTTTTAGTAGCTAGTACCTAGTAGTATTGTTAAACGACTTGATTTAGCCAAATTTAAATTAGATTTTAGCCAAAATAATATTAAGCAAGCATCGAAATTTCGTTAATAAATGTCCACACTAGAGATCTGCAAATCCCAGCCCAAACAAGTCTCGGGCAGGGTCAAGTCTATTTTTCAAAATTTGGGTTTGGACTGGGTCGCGTCTAATTTTTTTTTAATTTCCGGCCAGGGCGAGTCAAGCTTAAATTTTAAAATATTATATTAAATTTTGCCAAATAAATTGATATACTTTTAAATTCTTGAAACAAGGCGCTAATATTTTTTTATTTGTAGATTGCTTTACAATAAAAAAAATATTTTCAATATTTAAATAAATTCGGGTCGAGTCGGGCGGATAAATAATTTTTATTTCGGGTCGGGCTTTTCGGGACAAATAAAAAAATTGATCTCTGGACAAATTTTTTTTTAATTTTTGGCTGGGCTTGCAAAATAAGGCTCGATGCAGATCACTGGTTCAAACCTTTCTGCTATCTATAAGCAAAATCGGCTAAAATATTAAGTTTCGCCATTTTTAAAAATCGAACCGGTAAACAACACTAGTAGCTAATTAAAGTGGTAGCTCACTACTCGATTTAAAAATAGGTAGCTGAGTAATCAGGTGACATTTCTGGCTATATTTATGAATGCTATTTAAAAATAATATCACCATTTATTTTTTGAAATATTATAAATGCCTCTTTTTTTTATACAATGCCATGATTTAAGAAATTTTTTAATTAAAACTCCAGTAACAATATGATAGACTGGGGTTTAATAATATATTACTTTAGAAAATCATGATTACATGTAATAAGTAATTAATTATCGTTGAAAAGGAATTAGTAAATATTCACAATTTTTGATTAATTATGCCCATCCTTAGCATATATATGAATGTAAGAGAAAATAACAATTTTCTAAGAGAGGAGAATGTTGATATTATATTTTATTTTATTTTAAATTATAATTTACTTTTCACATTTTACTATTATTCCCTAGGGTCAATTTAATTTTATACTTTTAAACACTGGTGTTTATTTTTCCTAATAAATGAGTTCAAATTTAACTAAAATTGTTTTTATTTTTATTTAATATTTTAAGCAAATTGATATATTAATTTATTAACAGATACATTGCATTTTTTTATATAGACTAAAATTGTTTTGTTACTTAACACTGACTGATCATTTTTAAATAGAGAAATAAATCTCATAATTTTTTAAACCAAAATAAAAGAATTGAATTTATTACTCTCCTTTACTCTCAAAATTTTAAAATAATATCTCAAAATAAGGAAAACAAATCTCTGTTAGTAAAATGTTTGCTATGTCTACCAAAAAATATGCAAATTTCAGTTAGCATTAGCTCAACTTGCAACATTGTAAAACATTTAAGGGTATAGATACTAAATAAATGTTTACAATTTTAATTTTAAGAGAAAACATCAAACACTTTTAATCCAAATAAAAAAGGGGAAGGAGAAAAAATCTATTAACCCTTCACTACATAGGTGAAAAAAACTCCCGCGGTTACATAGGTGGGGTCTATTTTACCCCAAATTTTAAATAGCTATATCTCAGAAAATAATAAAATTTAAGAACTAAAATTTTATATACTTATTGTAAAAATATTAGAGATAATAAATACAAAATTTCTAGATTTACATTTATTTATAAATAAAGTTATGATATATTTACTAAAGCTGCTCAAAAAAAAATCTTTTTTTTGGAACTTTCCTTAATCATATGATATGACCAAAAATAAATGAATGGAAGCAAATTTGATTATATATTTTATTAATTCAATATTTTATAGTAATAATTAAATGAATTTTATAATAAAACATCAGATATTAAAAAAAATATTTGATATTAAAGTTCATGCATTTTTTTTAATAAAACATTCACGACATGTTACATAAATATGATCTTTGCATATAAATTTTGAACAATTTGAACAAATAAATGAGGATTTCTTGTCCCTAACCCTTAGACAAGAGGGGCACCTTCCTTTTTGTTTGGTTGAAATAGGTTTTAATTCCTCTATATTTAGCATGTTCCCAATATTATCCCTTAGTAGTTTATTAACATGTGGGTTTTCATATCTATTACTCATTAATAGAGTTATTAGCTCCATTGCTAATAATTTTATAAACTTTGATCTATTAATCTCCTTTAAATTATTGGATTTATAAATTATTAAAGAATTTATGCAAGATATATTCAACAAGTTATAAAAAATTGTTATGGCCATCTATTTATTATTCTGGATATTGAATAATTTGAACATAGCTGATCCACAACATCAACACCAGCTTTGGTGAGATTGTAAAATGTGATAATTTCTGGTTTATTCAAATCCCCAGTTGATGTATCAATATTGTTATCATAGTGAAGGGTAGAAAGCATCATGCTTATACTTTTTTGGTACATATGATACTAATGTCATATTATATTAGCAGGCAAATAAACTTGAACAAATATCTTTCTTTTTAATTAAATGATGTTGGAAACTGCTATTTATTTTTTCTTAAAGTTCCTACTATTGTTAATGAATGGGAATTTAATAAATGTATAGCAAGTTCATAACTGGTAAACCAGTTATCTGTGGTGACATTCCTATTACTCTTAAAAATGGGCTGAATTAACCTTTCAACCACATCAAAAGGCTTATTTCTCAATTTATAAGGTCCTTCAGGCTGATTGCCAGCATATAATTCTATTTTCAAAGTATAAAATGTCACTAGAATAATTCAAATTAAAAATCATATGTTAAATTTATGATTTTTTAGTCCACCGAAAAAATAAATAATATAAAATTTTCAAATTTAAAGTCATATATATCAATCAAAAAATAGATATAATTATATTTTTTTCAATTATATTTATTAACCTGACATACATAAATATAATTAGTAACAAAAAAAAAATTGGATTTAAAAAAAAAATTACATCATTACATAGGTGGGGTATATTTTACCCCAAGCTCAACAAATAGCATATATCTCAAAAACTATCAAATCAATAATCATGAAATTTGGAAGTTGTATTCCTTGTTACAAAATATTAAACTACTGAAAAAATCAGGTCGGAATATCTTCTAGCTTTTGTATTACAAAGATTATAAAAGTTGTGGGGTCCTATTTACCCCACCTTTGTAGTGAAGGGTTAAAGAAAATATTGGACTAGGCTCATCATCCATTGATTTTTTTCCAAGAGACCTCAGACTTTAACCCAAACACTTTAGATGATTTAATAACTGATTTTATTATAGATAGAATTCAGCCATTTTCAATTGTTGAAAATCCTTCTTTATAAAAATGATCAAAACATTAGCTCCACAAAAAAATATAACTTGCCGACACAGTGGTTGTTACTGAAATCTAATAATTATTTATTATCATTTAATCATATATTATATTATTTTATTAATGATATATAATAATTATTTATATTAATCATATATTATATTAATATCTAAAAATCATTATTTTAGTTATATTTTGATAAATGTGATATCGAGTCAATAAATTTTTTAGATCATTTCATGAATTTTCACAATAGAATCCTAATTTAGGTTTATATAATAAAAAATGTATCTGTACATAGATACATTTTAAATTGTATCTGTATCAAGATAACTTTTTAGAAGCTGTATCTGTATCTTGATAAATTTTTAGACTATGTATCTGTATCTAGATCCATTTAAAAAGTATCTTTTAACAACTCTGAAAATTAGTAGCAATAAGATGCTATTTTTTTGAAGAAGTAGCTTTAATGTAGCAAAACTGCTTTCTGAGAAAGTAACTGATGTGCTACTTATTAAAAGTAGCCTTAACAGCACTAATACCAACCCTAGACTTTGTCATATATTACTATATTTCACTTCCTTTTCATTATATTTGCAACAACAAAAATTTTATTTAAATTGGGGCATTAAAATATGGGGTCTTTCTGTCCTTTTAAAAAAGTGGTAATTAGGTCACTAATAAAAGAAATGGCTTTTTATAAAATTAAGCATTTCAAAAAAAAGCAAACCAGCTTGCATTTTTATTAATGCTTATAAATTGTTATCAATTTGCATGATACCATTTGATATTCATTTTTTGTGTTTTGTTCAATTAGGTCGTACCTTTAGCAAAGCATACTTTTATAAATTTTTAAGTCTGCCTAAAATGGTACATTAATAAGTAATAGTAGAATTTGAGACATGAAATATATTTTTTTATTAAATATAGTTAATAAACAATAATTACTTGTGAAATTGATTTTGTAATTGTTCAACAAATCCATCTTCAGGCAATATTGTATTTTTAGTGTTGAAATATTCAGCTTTATGAGTAATGTTTTGATAAGATCTATACCTAGAGCAAAGATCTAGAGCTAAATTGTGTTGTGATTTTAATTTTTCTAGTTCACAATCCTCCAATATATTATTTTTTAAAATTTGATATCTAAAAATAATTTATTTATATTACTTATTGGAAATATATAATTCTAATATTTTAAATTTAACAAATTTATTTGAATATACTGGTTATTAATTAATTATAAAATTACAAGAGATCTTTCTCAAATCGATTTGTGGTAGACTTGATATTTTGTGTTTTCTGAGTATGATCTGGAATTGTGTTATTACATGATTTAAGAAAAACTTCATCTAATAAATTAAAAATTCATTTATTCATGTTTGAAATATATTTACTTATTTGCGATGTAGCAAAACTTGAACTATAACTATATTTGGAAGTTTGGTCAAGAACATTAAAATTGCTAAGAGTTATATTACTTTTAGCACCAGTCCCATTTTTTTTAGATTTTATGGCAATATATTTTTTACAAATCTTTGACTTTTTAGGAACATTAAGGTTAATTGATGGAAAATCATGCCCAGAAACTGGTGTATTATGAGATAAGATCAATGGTGAACATGAACCTTTTTGAGACTGTAAAGAATTTGGTAAATATGTTATATATATAGGAAGTGGTCTATTTTTATCAAATTTATTAGTTGCAGCAATGTGTGTTTTAAAATTTGAATTTATGCTTCCTGACACAGATTTGATAGAACTATTGCTATTTGCTAAAACTAGATTAGAATTTATCACATTTAATATTGATGAATTGAGATTATTCAAATTAGTTAAGTTATTGCATTTTTGTTTTATGGCAGGGAATATAGGTAAATTAACATTTGGTAATTTGTAGCTATTTGGTAAATTTGTTTTCAGGAGAATGTATGATGATTTTTTATTGTCTAAAGCTTTCAAAATATGGCTGGTTATAGATGCTTTATCTTGAATATTGCCATTTAAAGCATTATCTATTTTTACCAATTTAGCCCTTCCCTTTTTAACACCATTCTTAATCAAATTTTTATATTGCTTATCCAATAAACTAATTTGTGGAATTAAATCTAATTTGGGATGCCCCATAAACCTAACAGGAAAATTTGTAAAGTTATGTTTTTTCTTATAATTTACTTATTATTAGAATTTAGTGATTGATTAGTTAAGGAGCTGATATAGATTAATGAGGGCTGAGGCAAAATTTTTGAATAACTTGTATGTGAAGATAAAATAGATTTATCGTCATAATTATGCACCTGTGTTTCATCCTATTTATATAAGTAAATACAAAATATGTAAAAATGAGAACTATAAAAAGCTATTAATCAAACGTGATTACTTGAGTTATCATTAGACACTAAAAAATTTAAGCCCTAATTCATAAATTCAGCATTTGGACAGTAATAATTTCAATATGGCGAATATAATTTAAAATTGGTTAACCGGTTATTTTGGCAAGACAATTATTTTGACTTTTAAAATATATATTTTAAATAATTCCTTAGTTGATGGCTATAACCCTAATAAAAATCCTTATTAATCTTATCTTATATCTTAAATCTTAATGATAACTTCTAGCTTCCAATAATTATTTTTAAGAATTACATTATTTATTATAGCGCATTGATCCAATCCAATAAATCTGACGTTTACATTATTTTACACCACAGGGAATATTATTAACAATATAATCGTATTATTTAAAATATACTTTTATAGGCAATAAATTTAATTTATTTCAAATAAATGTACATTAGGTAAAATTAATGATAAGTAATTCAAATTTTATCTAAAAAGTAACGTTATAATTATTTGGGAGGACTAAACTTGAAGTTGGGAGCCTTTATTAGAAAATTTAATTTTAAAGTATTTTAGAGCATTTATTTCTTTTATATAATAATGTAATGATAAAAAATATAATTAATTTAATTCTAACACCCAAGTAGATTAGTCTTCCTCTAATAGTGATTTTATATTGTTTAACATCAATATAAAACAGTACAGATTATTTGTAGTGTTGAAAGTTGAAGAATATATCAAGTTAAAATGAAACTAATCCTGTTAAACACTGTTTTCGATCGATTTTTTTAAATGATTAAGATTCTAGCCAAAACAATATCATGTAAGCGTGGAGATGAGCTTTTATCATAGATGGCAGAATGTTTGGTACTTTATTTGCCAAATCTCGAAGCTTATATAATATAATTTGGCTAAATTTTAAAAGGACCGTTTTTAAAAATCAACCCAAATTGAGTCGTCTTACAACACTAGTTAAAAAATTGAGTTAAATATAATTTATCACCTAAAATATAAATAATTAAATATAAAATTAAAATAAATACTTTTAGTAATCTATCACATCCCTCTTTACCTCAGAATATAACAAAACAAAAATCAAATACCTCTCCCACCGGATTTATATTGGAAATTCTCCTAATTCAGTTTTGTGCAAAGTTGATTTAAAAAATTATTTTAATTCTCGTACAGACATCTTCTCCTCAAAATTCTTTGATAGATTTCCTGACTGTGATAATTCGGTTATAAAACGTTAAAAAAATAAAATTAAATAATAAAATATCGATTCTGAAGCAATAAATTTATTCATAATTATTAATTATATAATAATAAATTAACAGTAAAAACATAATAAAATTAAAGATAAAAAAAATTAAAAGAGAAAGGTTAAACGAAATAAAATTCCAAAATTTAAAAAGTGGTATAATATTTACTAAATCTTATATTTCCTTTCTTTTTCATTTACATAGTCTGCTAAAATAAATAATATCGAAAAATTTGAATAAGCCATATCTTTTTTTGTTTACAACAAGTACATCTGAAATAATTTGTATAAGAATTTTCTTGTTCAACTGAATATTACAACCCCATTATATAAATTCCTGGTATGGTCAGCATTATTTTTAGTTTTTGGAGAGAAGGTTTTAAATTCTGAATCCAATAAGTGGGTCTTTTATGGCCTTCTCTTCTTTTGTTTAGGTTATCTTCATGACATGTTTCTAAAATGAAGTCCAAATTCAATATTGACCTTAATTTTTGGTATCTGGAAGACGGAACCCTATCTGGTCCTAATATTAATGTTTTGGAATTAATAATTCCCAAATAGATAAAATAAAAATTAGTTTTTGAAATTGTGTATTTTTACATTCAAGTAATGTTTAAATGAAGATTCGTTAATTTAGTTTTATATATCTTTTGACAATATTATATGTTATACATGTACATCAATATTATTGTGATACGAAGGGGTGCGAGTTAATCGAGAAGTCCTTTATAAAATAAGACTTTGTGAGTTGATTAGAAATCTACATATTATTTAGATGTATATATAGGGTAATTGACATGTATAACCTATTATATTGTCATAACTACATTTATACTTGATTGACATTGGATATTATATAAATTTATTTATATATAATTACCATCTTTCTATACATAAATCATCTGAAGTCAATTTTTTAAATCAGAGTGCAATTTATTAAATATACATAATCAAGTGGATATTTTCCTTTAAAGAAAATTTTAATTATCAAAAAAATAGGGTAGGGGAAAATAATATTTTTAACATAAGACAGGAGGGACTTAATTAAATGATACTTTAAAATCACATGTGGCACTCATCATTATCATATTAAGATAATAAGATTTTTTTAATGTTAATATTTTAACTAATAACATCATATAGTAAAAATACATTTAAGTCATATATAATGGTACTCTTTTAAAATAATGGTTTACTTTCATATTTTTATTTGGTTAATTTAAAAATGACACCCTTTTTCACTTCTTAACTTTCTATCTTATTCTTTAATATTTTATTGAAAATTAATTTTTATAAATATATTTTTTTTACATAACCTCATTGTAAAAAACCTTATCTATTATATAGATATATATAATTCATTTTACACCTTAGTAGTTCTCAATATATATATATATATTTCCCAAAAATTTAAACATTTACATATATAACCCTATAAATTAAAAAAAATTTATTTGTTTAAAAGTACTTACCTAGCGTTATTTTATAATATGAATTTCTTATTTCATTTATTCCCATATGTGAAAATTTGTTGTCAACAATAATTTTATCGCATCCCACATTGGCCCACGTATTGTACAAGGAGCACGTGCACCATTTAAAATATTACTAATAATTATACACACAATTAAATAGAGAGAGCAACTTTTTGCTGAGCCAAATTTGAATCGCCTAATATTCCTCTCCATCAATCTTTATATTTAATTAAGAAAATGCGGCTTCTTAAAATTTTAAACCCTTTTAGGACCTCATCTCCATTTTAAAACTCTTCATTCCTTTCAGCCCTAGACCTGAAAATTAAAAACTTTCTTGAGGTTATCTGAAACATTCATTTTTCCGAGTTTTATTGGGCCATTGCTAAAACTTCCGACCAATGAAGATGGTTTAGAGTTTCTCCCTCTCAATTTAGTTTTTTTTATCAGCTTTCCTTTCTTCTTGTCTTCATTGCGAGGAGGTTATAAGTAAGCTTGTAAGTGGTAAAGATAGTATTTGAGACTGCTTGTGACTTATGGAAGAAAGATTTATTTATTCCTTCCACATCCTCATCACAAAAAAACTTTCTTAACCCTATTCTGGCTAATTTTAAGAAATCGGTGTTGACTAATCCTCCTATGAAAACACACCAATCCTCAAATATTTGGGATAAAACTGCAGCCATGAATGGCTTGAAGCTGTCCCTTGTGACTTGGTCTTTTTATATCCGATAGCTGAGCGTTATCATAGGGTACAAGCTTGCAGTGTCACATGGCCAGGGTTGAGGTAGGAGACAAATGCCTCCAAAATATATTGGCATTTTGGGGGATAGGTATTGATTCTAGTGGTAGATGTTTATTTTTGGGGGTTAGGTATTATTTTTTGAGATTTCTTCTTTACTTTTCTTTTTTTTTTGGGGGGGGGGGGGGTTGAATTGAAATATAATGTATTTAGATATAATAATTGTTACAATTATGATGTTTATCGTTAATTTTATTCTGACAAATATCAATTAAAGAAAAAGATCTGTCAAAAAAATATAGATTTTTTACAATTTCACGCGTAAAGTATAATCAGCGTCTACATGACAGGATTTTCACTGGATGCAAACCCCCTTCAAAAACCTTTGCCTACCCCCCTAAAAAATCGCCGCCTTAGGCGGCGGTGTCTCTTTATCATTATTTTTACCTATTTATTTATTGATACCCTTTTCAAAGAATTTATAAAGGATAACCTAAAATAATCTATATCTACTACCAACTCTATATTTTGTGATTATAAATAATTTATTTTTTAGATAATAAATTCAATTAAAACTTCTATTATTTACAATTAATTAGTTATTATGGCATTATGAGCTTAAAATATCTAAACCTTTTAAATTACATTAAAAAGGATAGTTTATTTGGAAAACAATGTGTATGATTGTTTGCAATATATAGATTAGGTCGATGAATTGTATTATAATAATACTATAATAAAAGTATAATTTTTACAGCAATAAATTTTGTCCTATTTCATCTCAAAATTTAATAAATAACCCCCCAAAAAATTTATCCTACCCCCAATAAAGCAACTTACCTCCTACCCCCTCAAAAAAAATAGGATGCAAACTGTTCCTACCCCTCCCGCTCATGTAGACGCTGAGTATAATATTGATTTTATTTGGTAATTTTCCAAAAGCATATAGGTTAACATATATGATTTATTGTCAGTCCCATCCTATATATCATATGAATATAATAAATCTTTTATCTAAAATTTTATCTAAATTTTATCTAAATTTTATCAAAATATTTTAAATATTGTTAAAAATAAGATTTTCAATATGTAAACACATTTTAACTCTACTCTTTATTTAATAATTATCAAACATCCAAAGTTATTGAAGATTCATAGATTATATTTTCTTCTCATTCAGGATCAATCCCAATGGAGTGACTCAGGCACCTCTTTCATTGTCTATGGATTATGAGCAAGAATTAGAGATGAAAATTTTATATTAAGACTATTTATTTTGAGAGAAATATTGAAATACACCCATGATGCTTGTATTTAAATTTAGGAAGTTGGTAATAATTGGCTGCTATGGTAACAAAATTAATACAACCACAAAAAAATAATTATAAAGACTAAGAGGTTAATCTATTTCTATAAATAATTTTAAAATGATGTTAATGGGGGAATATTTTTAAAATTACATTACATATTTAATAGTGATTTGATAAAGAATAATATTATATTTGTAAAATATGAAATCAATATTCAAATTAGATAAAATCAGAGACCTGCAGAGGTACCATTTGTACGGCCCGGCCCAGCCCAGATTAATAAATTTTCGGCCCGGCCCGGATTTTGTTTTCAAAAATTTTTTACGGCCTGGCCCCGGGTTTATTAATT